AAATGTTTAATAAAAGCCTCAATACCTAAGTATTGAACCGATTTTTATTTTCGATTTGTCGTCCCTATAAAGTACTTTAAGCACCGATAACTATTTTAATCAGTTTAATTATACATAAAAACCAATCGAGGCTCGGCCAGGGAAAGTAGCAACGTTTTCCAAAAAAACATAAAATGTATCCTAACTACATTTATGGTAACAGCAATTATGTGCGATAAGAAATAGAATAAGTAGTGTGGATAATAAGATTTCCGCCAATACGTATTTTCTGTAAGTGCCTAGATGCACACATATTTCCGCCCGTCTCTCAATAGCAAGTACAAAACACAAATTAACGACAGTTTCGTGGCGCTTTTGATTTAACAGCCGGTTAGAAATAAGTAAAGACCACTCTCCCACAAATCGGGGGCCGCTGCCCGCAGCCCAGTGCAAAGTTTTGCGGGCACTGTTGTTTGGGGCACATTTACCCGCAAGCATTTTCAGCTAGTTTTTCCTCTCCTTTGCTCGTTTGCTCGCTCGTTGTTTATTTTTTGTTGCTTTTTTTTTGCAAAGTTTGGAATGCGTTTGAATTTCTCGTTCATGGCTCCCAAAATAACACGGCTGTTAGCGTTCCCAGCAGCAAAAGTGGCAGAACCAACCAAAGCGACCAAACCAGTCAGAGCGGCAGTGCTAGAGCGCACAAAATTGTTGCCTGCTTTTGGGCGCTGATGTTTGTGGTTCGCTTTGATTATGCCACATTGTGCGGCCGTTGTTGTCGTTGGTGGAAGTACCTGTGGCACAAATTCCCATGAAATGATGTGTAGCCATTAGCTGTCCTTATTTAAGGCGCTTAAATGTCGAGGCCGGTCCTCAGAAATGCCCAGGACATTTCACTAATTAGCATTCATGATGCACGCAAAAAGTGTTGCCTGAAAAGTTTTGTTAAACAACAAATTATTTTGTTATATGTATGTGTTGCTGCAAAAATACGCCCCATACGAGAAGAGCAACATCCAGAGCAACAACAAAAACAACAACAGCAGCAACTACATTGTCTCCAACAGCAACAACAGGCCAATGATGATAAAGATGATAATGATAATCAACAGTGCTGCTGTTGCGGATGATGAATATTTGCCAAAATGATTGTTTTCCCAAATGACTCTGCCAGCAGCAACGGCAACGGCAACGGCAACAGCAGCAACACAACAACAACAACAATAACAAAAACAAGCAGCAGGCCAACTAAACTTGCCAACGTTTCGTTTTGTACGTTTTGTGCACGCTTCAATGCAATCTATGGGACGCAGCTGTGCAAATTCTGTTGCCCACGCACACACACACACACATATATATATATATTTCACACAAATGTACAAACACATCCAGACAGAGAACCAAAGAGACATACAGACGTGCAGGGAGAGAGGCGAAAAAGCCCCATGCAGGCGACCAAGCAAGCCCATGCGGCGTATACGTAACCTTAAATCGATGTCCCTCTTTCAGCCTCTCCTTCTCTCTCTCCTCGACTCCACTCTATCTATCTTTGCTGCTTCCACTTGCTGGCTGGCAAACAAAACACATGACATAAGCCCTGCTTTTGAAGCTTATAGTGCTGCCTGGCGAATGTTGCGCCAGCAGTTGTTGCACACACACACACACATATACAAATACACCCACACATTCGCACAAAATGGCCATCATTATGTTTTAGAAAATATGTGAATTGTCAACACAAAATTCTGTAAATAGTTTTTTGGCCAACCAAACCATTTTTGGTTTTTGGGACCGACTGCCGCTGTTTATTTTTTAGGCCAGGCTAGCCCAGCTGCTGCTGCTGCTGCTGCTACTGCTGCCGGTGCCACTGCTGGTGGCCAGTACCGCAGTCCGAGCCCACACACAACTTTCGACCAGTTGTGGTTTTGTGTGCAGGACACAAAAGTTTTAAGCCCAAAACCAAGTGCAATATTTTACAATTATACACAAAAGTGTTGAGTGTTGTCGTTCTCCCCCCTTCTTATTGTTTTTGTTTGTTTTATTTTTGCCTTTTCTATAGCTCTTGTTGTGTTTCTTCTGTTTCTGCTTCTGCTGCTGCTGCTTCTTTTTGTGCTCTCTGTTTTTGCATGCCAGCAGCCAATTACAGTCTGCGGCATGTGATCCATCATTGTCTATGTTTGGCGTTTGATAAGCGCCGCCGAGCTCAGCTGAGCTGTGAGTTGTGAGTGATGCGCTCATGTGAGTGTATCTGTATTTGCGTTTGTGTGTGTGGGTGTGCGAGTGGGTGTGTTTGTATGTGTGCTCCTTCGATTGGCATGGCGGTAGCGTGCCTGAATGGCTGTGAAAACACAACCAGTTGCAGCTGTATCCACAATCATTATCACAAAAGCAAACTGTGCAGTCCACAGAGGCAGCAAGCCCGAACTGGATGGTGGGGGCAACAGACGCTGCCACAGACACAGCAACATCGACTGACTGCCATAGCCATCGTCATCGTCATCGTCCTCGCCGGCGTCATCATCGTCAGCAGCAGCAACATTTGCACCCACAAACACACACACACACACACACACTCACACACACAAACAATTTCCATTAGCTTGCGCAAACAAAGTTTCTGTGTTTGGGTCGCAATTGCTGTTCAGGCGACAAAGATTTACAGAGCATTAGTATCGTTTGTGGGAACAATTTGCCAGAGTAATCATGATATTACTGATTTTACTTATAATTTGCAATTAATTATAACGAAAAAACCTCTAAGACTTAATTAGTGTTGAATATTTTTAGTGTTTCCCCTGTTGGTTATAATTAAACCGGGAAATTAATTTAATAATTCGAATCTCATGCGAATCAAATCGCTCACATAAATACTGTATATTTCTTAGCTACTTACTCGTAGCTACGCTTAGATGTGCAAATAGTTTGCACACAAACTTATAGAAAGTATGTCCCTGGCTGATCATAGTTTAGTGGAACAGGGGCATAGTTAAGGGATTGCTATCACAAGCTAATTTTGTTAAGTGAGGACTTTCCAGGTAATTTGATTAGCTGATAATTATGACTTAGCTTTTGTAGGTTATTGCATTGACCTTATGACTATAAATGAGAAAATTAATTACGCGAAATAATAGTAATATAAATATATTGCTATGTCTTAGCGCTTACTATGAAACGTCGCCTCCAAAATGTTATTTGACTAATCACCTAGCTAGAAAAGCGTTTTATATGAATGTAAATTTTGACAGCAACAATTATAATCCATAATAAAGTAGAGTGAGCGATAGAAGCCATGGCGTGGAAAAGTTGTCTTCTTTTAATTTTCGAACCCCATAAAAAAACGATGGGTCGATAATACGCACCCTTTTATATTTTGAGTACAAAAACAATAAATTTTATTTCATTCTTATATTACTTTGTCCAATCAGAGACAATAGTTTCGAAACAAGCTTTTTAAATATTTTTTTGATGCAATTTGTTCAACCTATGACCAAAAAATTATATCCAGAGAGATTCCTATGTATGATATCCTTTGCAAATTGGTTTTCCCCAAGACTCCGAAACCTCCTAGAAAACAAATGGCTGTGGAGCATTTGGAATTAACCAAGCTACGTATTGTCATTGCGATATAACAAGGAACCCGCGGAATTCCTACAAAAAATTTTTGTTGGTTTCGAGTCATCTTTGCAAACCCATAATGGTCCGTTTCATATGCATACTATAGACGCAAGCTTCGTCATTTGCCAAAAAACTAGGTTAAAATAATTCTATATATTCATCACAAATAAGGAACAGATCGTAGTGCAATGTAATTAGATGACAGTAAATGGCAGCAATTTTAGTTTGAGCCAAGTGTTCCGAACGGCAGAAGAACGACCCTGCAGGCCAGAAAAATAAAAGTGCTGGTTTTCCAAGGCAGTTGGAAAATTATTTTCCTTCATTAAAATGCCACAAAATACTTAAAACTTTCGTCAAATGATGTGTAGGAAGCGAGTTAAAAAGTAGGCTGGCATCCCTTTCGGCTGCACTCACCAGCGTCTAGATAAGATGTTCTAACCACCACTGAGCTTAACCAGCTTATCTAGAAATTGCTTAAAGCCTACAAAAACCTAATTAAAATTCTTAATCGGACATTGCTGTCGAAAGCGGCGCCATCTGACAGAATTGGTGGAAAACGCTAGATTATGGTTTTCGGTACTTTATTTTCGGTAATGACCGAGATGAGATGAAATTATATTCTGCTAACATCTGGGATATACTTAGACAGAACTGAGAAGTCGGAATGGACAGACAAAAGACAGACATTAAAATATGAATTTAAAATACTTTATTGGACGCCCAGTGACATCCGCTATTGTGTTCTGTAATTCCGTAGATTGTGTGTCGCCTGCTCAACGTTATCATCGTCCTCAATCCTCCATCTGTGTGCTGCGGCTTTGCATTAAGCTTTTCATTTTTGAGCTATAGCTGAGTGGCGGTACTTGGCGGGTGGTGTCGCCTCTGTGCACCCCTTTTCTCCAACCCTCTTCTGGGTATATCTTCTGATTTGCCTGCTAACCAACCAAAAATGTTTGCTAATTTATTTCCCATGTTCAGACAAATTTGTTAATGTTGCACGACCGAGCGAGCGCCCGCTGTTAGTCCCCAAGTTGGGCATGGACAAGTGCACGTCCTTGTTGTGGTCACCACCGATGTGTATAGTGTACGAGTATGTGTGTGGGTGTGAATTTAGTTGGTACAGCAGTTTCCGATATCAGGCAACAAATGCTGCTAATGCATTTGTAATGCGCCTCAGCTGCACATCCTGAGCCTGAGCCTGAGCTGGAGCCTGATCCTCTGCCCCACCACCGCCTCTTCTTCGTGTTTGTCCGAATGCGTGTGTGTGTTTGTGGCTTGTTTTGCAGATGAAGCAAAATGCATGCATGTTGTTTATTATGAAAGTTGTTAACAACCAGCCGCCAACTTGTGACTTTAATCTCACTCTCCCTCTCTCTCTCTCTCTCTTTCTATGTCTCTCCATAGGCAACAGCAACATGAGCAGCAACAACAACAACAGCAACAATGGCGACAAGTCCAGTACATCCTCATCTGCCTCCTCGGGTGGCAGGGATAGGGAGAGCAAAGACATCGCAGCCAGCAGCGCAGCTCACAGCACACAGTCCAATGGTGGGGGCAGGGATCGAGAACGTGAACGTCTTTCCCGCAGTCCGCCGGATTCTCCGCCGGAAGCAGCACGAGGTGTTACCATTGCACCCCGCTCTCCACTCTCTCCACAAAGCGGATTGCTGCACTCGCGTCCACAGCGCAATGCGAGCGCCTCGCCCGTGGTTAATGGAGCCTCGGCCACTTCCCCGCCACCCCCGCCCCCTTCATCAACACAGGCAGCCACACTGGCAGCTGCTGCAGCTGCAGCTGCCGCTGCAGCCGCACATGTGGAGCAAGCTCGTTTACTGGCCAAGATACGCAAATTTTTAGGCTCCCTTGTCCAGTTCTCGCAGGAGCTGCAGCCAGAGGTGAGCGAGCGAGTTCGCGCCTTGGTCCTCTCGCTATGCAGTGGCGCCATTTCCATCGAGGAGTTCCGACTGGCCCTGCAGGAGGCCATAAACCTGCCGCTGCGTCCGTATGTTATGCCGCTGCTCAAGAACAGCGTTGCGCTGCTACAGCGTGAGATTTTGGCACTGGCACGCGCCACAAACCAGTCGCCTTTACAGTACGTAACCTCCAATGAGCAAGCGGTTATGGAGTTCGCGCCGCATGGCGTAGCCTGCGGCGAATTCAGCGACATTTTTGTGCAGCTAGAAGCGTCGCCAGGCTCGGCAAATGGGCTGGTCAAGCGACGTTCCTCCGACTCCATGATGGAACATGGAGCGCACAACGGGCTGCAGGAATGGAGCGAGTATATGGCGAGCGCTTATCCGCCGCCCACGAAGCGGCTGGCCATGACTCATGGTCATGCCGTGGTGGGCCAGCCTTCACTCTTCGACTACAGTGCTGGTGTGGAGCGGGCCGATGTGTCTGCTGGCGGCTTTTTACCGCGTGATGACCGTGAGCTGCGTCTGAATGAAGCCCAGGCACAAGCAAGGCATGCTGTGCCCCCACCCGCGGCTCGTCCGCCCGCCTCCAACGCCGCACCCGCAAGCGGCAATGCGGCTCCTGTTCCTGCTGGTGGCGAAGAGGAGTGGAAAAACATACACACCATGCTCAACTGCATATCGGCCATGGTGGATAAAACCAAGCGAGCTATTACCATTTTACAGCAACGAGGCATTGAGCCACAGCATGGAAACAACAGTCAAGAGGTGACGCCCGCGGCCCTCGTCGAGCTGCGACGCCAAACGGAGGAGAAGGTTGCCGAGTTCAAGCGCAATGCTGAGGATGCAGTCACTCAGGTATGTTCGACTACTTTGGCCCCGAATCTCTTAACTTGACAATCAGCATCTTCGTTCCATCCGCAGGTCAAGCGGCAGGCGGTTATTGAAATACAACGGGCTGTCGTTGCGGCAGAGACTCGAGCCGCTGAGATTATGACGCAGGAACGTCTACGTATGGAAAAGTTCTTCATGGAGATGAGCCGGCATTCGAGTGGAGAACGCGACCTTGATAATAAATCGCCCTCGATACCCAGCGCACAAAATGTAAGCAAAAAAAGAGGGCTCTATGTTCAAAACTGTCTCTTAAGCCCATTCTTTAATGTCTTCAAAAAAGACCGTGCACATATAATTAATAAAAGATGCATTGCAATGGTACGAACGCATCAGCATGTTTGATTTTATCGTTTTCCTTATTATCAGAAATAGAATAATAAAGTAGGAGTTAATGGAACAGTATATGGATCAATCATGAATATATTAATATTTAATATTTTTTTCTGGATACTGTTCATTCCTCACTTGTGTCTTCTTTCAGGGAAGCAATTTGCAGCAACAGTGTTGGAACTGTGGACGCAAGGCCACGGAAACCTGCTCCGGGTGCAACATGGCACGCTACTGCAGCGCCTCTTGTCAGTACAGGGACTGGGACAGTCATCATCAGGTGGGTTTCACCCGCAAAGGTCTTCAGTCACAGTCCTCTGATGCTTTTGCTGCTCTCGATTTTGCTTCCAGGTCTGTGCTAATTCACGGGCCACCGAGCTGAGCGCCAAGCACTTGCACAACGCTAGTCTCCGCAGCGCAATGGCCACCCGCTCGCCGCCCACGCCCACCACGACGGCGACTGTTGCTGCCTCTGCTCACTTGCAGACTGCTCCACAGTCAGCTGGAGGACGGGAGGCTCCTGTGGTGGACGGCAGAGGTACAGGAGGCGGTGCCTCTGGCGGTGCAGCCACGCCCAGCGCCCTGGTGCCCAACGGTTTGGGCTCCAAATGACGCATTCGCATGATGAAACCTAAGAAGAAATACTTGTGCTAGTCAAATTAAAGCGCCGCATTATACGAGAGGAGGAGCAGGCGCATAATACACATACATACATACACACGCACACACGCACGCATACTACGTCACGAACTATGTAGTGTATGGAAATATGCGGATATACTTATCACCGATTAGCGGAGCATAAACCAAAAAATAAGAAATCAAAATGATCCAGGAGAAGGAGCTGTTGTCTGCATTCGGTAACTAATAGTAGGGCAGGCTTTGAGGTACCCACATCTATATACATACATAATGATAATGGCTAAACATACGATAAAGGATACAGATACTTCAAGTAACGCAACTATTGCACTTGCATTTTAATGACACTTGATAAGCATTTCCACAATACATATTTACATTTTCGAGATATTATTGCATTCAGTGTTTTTTGGAACACCCCATAGGAGAAACGTCATATCTGCAAGGCTGTTTGGTTGGTGTGGGCAAAATTTAATGTTGGCCATTGGAAGTGTACTACCCATAACTCGAACAAGATCGGATATTGTTCTCAGATTTAGCAAAGTTTGTTAAGTTCCCCCATTCACCAGATGTTTCTTCCTAATTGAAATCTTTCGTTAAAGACCCTGATTTTCCATCCTGAATACGCTGAAGGTTACTTTAAGGCTCTTTCCTCATTCAGTTAAGAATCTGTTTAGGTGTGTAGGTAAAAAGGATATTTGGAAAAATGAAGAATTTGTTTAGATATGGTGGTATAAATGTTTATATTTAGATCTTGGATATGTGTACAGCATACTTTTATTTGTATTTTTTTCCCTCTGTAAATTGTACATAATTAACCCTTTTATTGTTATTAGGCGATTTCCCATTTGCATAACTTGTTTTAAACGCAAACCCCTGCACCATTCAATTAAAAGAATCTCCCCTTTCCAATTCAATAGAAATTCACTTGGTTCCAAAAATGTTGCAAAACAAACCTGTATATCCTTGTTTTCTTTATAAAATGGCATTTTTAGAATCTAACTAACTCCTGAGAAGAAAAGTTTCTAAAATGTAAGTCTAATTGAAAATGGGAGCATTAATGGACTACAATTTTGCCATATACATCAAGCAGCCCGTAACGGCGTTTGGCACACGAATGACATCAGATTAGATAATACAAAAAATAAATAATATAAAGAAGAAATTAATTACATTTTGCAGCAGCACTTACCAGTCCTTTAAGACTATTTGCACACATCTATAGTTACGAGAATATGCTAATTATACAAGAAGTACAATTGACTTCGAATCGAATGAATTATTGAAAACACTGTAAGTACATAGGCAACCAAAAAGAACATAAGTAGTAGCTCGTATTATTATTATCAAATATTATTGCTAATTTATTGATTATATTTAATTTATTAATTAGTATTTATTATATGTATTATGAATCAAATATTTAAATGTACTTTACCATAAAAACAAAAAACAAAAAACAGAAAACAAAACGAAACGAAACAACAACAAGAAAACCAAAATGAGTAACTGTTACATTCAATTCGAAAAGGCTAAAACAAAATGGAAACCCAAGAAATAAAGTGTTTAAAACCAACAATGCCGTATGGCCTTTTCATGTGATCAGCAACAAAATCAGCAATGGCGTGTAAAATGCAACAAGACAATGGCTATGATATAAGCATTAGTGTGTGAGTGTACGTGTGCGTGTGCGTGTGTTTGTGTGGGAGTGCGACTGGAAATGCTGCAAAACCACAAACTACTAGTGATGAAATTTCAATTATCGTCACTCAACTGTGCAAATCTGTGTGTGCTTGGCATTCTCTGCGTTGGCTGGGCTTCTGTGTGGCGTCCGTGTGGCACGCCCAGGCGCACACCTGCTGCTGTCGCAGTGCAAGCAAAAGCTCGTTAGTGACTACCCTCCCACCCCTGCCCGCAGTTCTTCAGCTCCCCCAACCACATCTGCACATCCACAACATTTGTCGCTTACACACAGGCACATGAGCCTGCGGCTTCCCAACACACACGCACAACACACGCACACACACACACACACACACACGCAAATAAGCTTACCTTAACTTTGCTTTTGCCTCGGTGCTGGATCGTGTGTGTTTATGTGTGTCTATGCTTTTTCGCAACCCTTCAACTGGAACTCCAATGAGGACGACGACGATGATGATGGCATTTTGCTACCTGACTGATTTTCTAAAGCCAGTGAAGAATGCGATGCGGCTGTCAGGTTGGTTAACCAGCGCATATTCAAATAGCAGCACGTCCAGCACAGCTGCCTGTCTGACCCTCAAACCCTCAGACCATCAGACCCCAACCCACCATCCATCCATGGCCAGACCAACTAGTCTTGTAAGCCTTGCGTATGCTGTCGCTCCCGTTTGTCCGTCTATTTGTTGGCATTGTGTTAGTCGCTCGTCGTTCGTCGTTTGTCGTTCACTTCTCTTTCGTAAGCTTCTATTTAACATGCAGTTGTCGTTTGTTATCGCCTGCAGCCACAGCTCAGCTAAGCTAAGCTTTAACAAAGGCCAGGACATGTTGTCAACAGCAAACATTGCAGCAGCCTTCTACCCGGCGAATCCTTCTCCATCCGTACAGCGGTGTGTGTGTGTGTATGTGTGTGCATATCGCCGATATCCCATCGATCTAACAAATAAAAACAATTTAAGCACATTCACATAAAGAATGTTTAATTAAAAAGCTTGCGATTCCAACTTGCACTGAATGTGCCTTGGGGCCAAATATACAAGTATGTACTTATTTATCAGAAGTGGAGCTCGACAGCAGCAGCAACAGGGACAGCAGTGAGGAAAACCTGGCAGCCCGGCAGCCTCCCAGGCTGGAAGGCAGACAGAGGCAGACAGAGTCAGGCAAAAGCAAGGCAACGCAAGCCAAGGCAGCAATTGTGCCATTTCAATCGACATCTGTTACTGATTTCAAAGAAACTTTTGTTGACAACACAAACAAATGCCGAACCCCGCATGCCAAACGCACTCCCACACACACACGCGCCTATACACACACACAAACACAAATTGACGACGTCGCAACGTTGGTGGGGTGGGTGGTGTTTAGGCAGGAGGCGTGCAAGGTACAAACGTTTGACGCTTGTCTGCACACGGGGAGGACGGAGGGCGGCGGATGGGAGTTAGCTTGGCAGCGTGTGCTCACGTGTGTCCCGAAGTGCCGCACAGCTGACGCTAACGTTATCAGCAAAGCGCCAGCGCTTGTATGTATGTATGTGTATGCGTATATGTGTGTTATTGTTTTTGTGTGCCTGCTACAAACGAAGTTGACTGAGGTTGCCTTGCCTCAGCTTGCCTGCATTTGAAGGCTCTGCATGAATATGCCGACATCAGTGTATGTGTGTGTGTATGTGTATGCATGTTTTTGGCGTCCCCATTGTCGATAATAATGGCGCGCTGGCAGGCAGAGGCAGGCGAACAGACAGGCCGAGACGCAAACAGGCGAGGCAGCTTCAGCTCACAACTTGCCGCCAGTGTTGCCGCTTTTGTGCGCGTAACATGTGTCAATTACAGACGCACACAAACACACACACACAGACGCCACACAAACACAGCCATTCCCGCTGCACTACCAGGCACACACACACACACACACACGCATATAAACACACACACAATAATGTGCACGCCGTACCTCTGTGTCCATAACTCAAAAATCTGCCAAAAGTATGCGCACAATTTTTTATATGTGCCGCCTAAAAGTATGCACATATTTTTATGGCATCGCTGCTGCTGCCGCCGCTGCTGCTGGTGCTGCTGTTGGCATTTGACAGCAGCAATTTTGGACTGCCGGCACAACTACGACGGCCACGGCAACGGCAACGGCTGCCGCTGCTTTATGTTAATTCAGTTTGTGTATTGGCTCCGTTTCCTGATTGGTCAGAAAGGCGGGTCGGCGTGGCTTGCTGTGGAACTGGAAGTCGGCGCATTGTTTTTGCTTCCTGTTGCCGGCACATAAAAATGTTTTTAATTAAAAAATATTTTCCCTGCGCGACAATAATTAATCGTATAGTACACTGCTCACGCACATTTTAATTTTAAAGACCCATCATGATTGGTGTTCAGCTTCAATTTCTGCTGAAACCTAAACGTAAGTCCTGAAATTTGTTATCCTAATTATTTCTAAACACGTCTAACCTGTTGTTTACAGGCATGATGTCCAAGATCAGACTGACGATTTCATTTAGATCTTATAAAATATATGTGTTAAGTCGACAAATACATTAAGTAAATAAATTTAAGAAGTTTTTATAAAATCATTTAAAAATCAATGCTATATAGTTTTTTCGAAGCTGTCCGTATGCGGAGTCAAACTGAATAATGTTTTTCAAGATGAGCCGGAAAATTTAAATCATATGCATGACGTTCATCAAATTTTACTTCGGATTGCGTCCATATAGTAAGTATGTGACTATTTATTTGTGTCTCTGTTGGTGTGAATGTAAGCAGCTGATAAATTACGGCGTGCTAAGAGGGCAAAAGAAGCTACAACTGTGACAATTAATTTATAGTGGAATACCAAACCCAGAACTGTACTCTGATCAGCCATGATGATATTGGAACAATTTTTAAGACGGAAGTTCAATTTGGATTAAAAATCAAACAAAGCATATAATTGTGCATTGTTATTCAAATAAGTCATTAGCTTTTATTAAGCTTAGCTAATGTGGATCGGTTAAGCATGCACAAAAGCTGCATGTACCTCAATCATTCTGCAGGCGAATGTAATAAATGGAGCTGTTATCGGATAGAATAAGCTTCACACAATCGACACACATGAGCATACGGTAATAAGATAGATAGAATGGGGATCATTCATAAAGGTGAACAATAAATTGCTAAGATATTCATATTAGGGTATGCCAGAAGTTACATAAACAGGTTTGAAAATATTTAATCTGAGCAAATAATAATTAAGTAACACCTCTGGAGCCAAATATATTTATAGTGTGTCTGACTTAAAATTTTAATGGCATAGGAACAAGGCAGGACAGTATGAAGATTTTAGAGAGTGCGTAAGAATTGTCAGTAAGAAAAAATTGTACGATTATTTCGATTGAAAGTTGAAGTCACGTGTCTCAAGTGTTTTAGTCTCCATATGCAAGAGGTACGCAATGGAACTGAGTTACAATTTTTAAAGTTTTTCGTTGATCATATGCAGAAATTATTATTTTAACGCAAAATGCATTATTTGATCAAAATTGTATTTTTTTTGTCCCCTCCTTAGGAAAAACCTGCGAACGGACTTGTCCATATGTGTTAAGATTTTGAAATACTATGCTATTTGAAGTATCACGCAAGACTTGCATTAACCCCACACTTTTTATACTCTATTATACTGTACATGAAATGTATATTAGAGTATATTAGATTTGCGCGAGCTGAAAAATGTAACAGGCAGAAGGAGGCGTGGCAGACCCCACAAGTATATATATATTCTTTATCAGCGTGACAAGACGAGTCGATTTAGCCCTGTCTGTCCGTCTACTCGTCCGTCCGTCTGTCCGTCCGTATGATCACCTAGATCTCAGAGACTATAAGAGATAGAGACACAAAATTTTGCACAAAGATGCCTTAGGAACACCAAATTTTAGTCCAAGATGCCTTATGTGAATACGCAGGAAATGTGTATTTTGGAATTTCCCTCCCTCCCCCCTCTCCCATGCAAATTGCGATTTTTTCTAACTCCCGTAATTCTTGGAATTTCGAATTTTGCAAATACCCCCAGTTGGTTATTATGTGCCCGTATGCCAAGTTTCACTATGATAGACCGATTTAACAAGAAGTTATAGCCATAAATATATTTGCTGCTGCAGCGCTGCTCAAGCGCTGCCCGCGACTGCTGTTGATGCTGGTGCTTTGGTTGACTGCACACATGTTTACACAGACACGAATAGATGCGCATAGGCATACATACACTCACACAGACGCAATTGCTATGTAAATGTGCAATTATACACCCTTTACGTGAGTTCGAATACCAAGAAAGGTAAAATCGATCAAAATTTTTTTTTTTAATTTTCTTAATTTTTTTTATTTTCTATAATTATTGTAAACATATGTACAGAGTATTTCAAAGTCGGGACACCCGACTTTAGGTTTTTTACTTGTTTTATATTTAAGTTGTCATTTATGAAGTGGTTGAAATTGAATTGTTAGTCATTTAAGATAGTAGATGTTAGATTGAATTGTTAGTCATTTAAGTTAATAGAAGTAAAATTGAATTGTTTATTTAAGCTTAAGTTTGTAATAGAAGTCAATGTTGTCATATCTTGCGCCACTGTACAAATGAGTGAATCCAGCTGTCAACCTAAGCAATCGCGTTTTTATGTTGCCGAAAATAAACATTGTCTCTCTTCTCTTGTGACCACCGAAAGTATAAATATTCTGAATCAGCATGACGAGTGAAATCGATCTAGACATGTCAGTCCGTCCGCCTGTCCGTCTGTATGAACGTAAGGATCTCAAAAACTATAAAAGCTAGAATAACCACAGTTGGTATCCAGATTCTCCTAGGTCCGAGAAAGAACGAGTTTATTTTATTTTTTTTAATTTCCCACACGAGACATACACAGACACACACAAACACACACATACACGCATAATTATTCTACACATATGTATGTATGTAGAGAGGGCTTCAAAGTCGGGGTACCTGACCTTAGCTTCTCTACTTGTTCGTTACATAAAATACGTAACATCTTAAGTTTAGAAAGGAATCATTATGGCATCTTCCGATGTTATTTTTAATTCACAATTCATAGATATGTATGTAGGTCAGGAGCAAAATATGTTTCATTTTTAATTTCTTATTCATTCTTTATTTGTAAAGGCGTTTAATCGGCATATTTTGCATTATTTTCAAACATAGCAGTCAAGGCTACTAATATAATTAATAAAATACAATAAGCTGTCACATGCGAAGAGATAACGAACTAACTAAATAGCCGTGCTATTCAAGTGGCGCACGGCTGGTGAGGGGGTGTGATATTCAAATGGCGCGGAGTGTGATACAAAGCACTATAGCTATGCCCATTTATATATTAATGTGTTCTCGTATGTGTGCCTTAAGTATACTAGTTCCCTGAGCAGAGTGGGGCCGTTATCTAACAGCACGAAATATGAATTATCATCGGGACTGCTCTCTAATATCATCAAACGGCTCGTTTTTCCGCTCTACGAGTGTGTCCATATGTATTTGTATGTATGTACAAACGTACTACACACGCCACTATTTCTCTCTCGTTCGTTGACTTATCGCTGCTGAGCAGTGTTGCCAACTTTTTAGAAAGGAAAAAAGCTGCTTTTGATGGGAAAAAGAGTAAAATAAAGCTTAAAAATATTACAAACAAGGTAGAACGCTACAGTCGAGCAAGCCCGACAGTAAAATAGCCTGTACTCTCCACAAAAAGGAAAAATTAAAAAAAAAAAAAATTAAAAAAAAATTAAATTATTAAAAAAAATGAATGAATTAATTAATTAAAATAATTAATTTAATTAAATTAGAATACATGTTTATGTTCAGTTTAAACAGCATACATTTACATCACGTACCTATGCGTGTTCATATGCGTGTATGTATGCAGCACAAAGTTGAACAAAAGCAGCAACAACAACAACAGCTGCGGGCAGCGCTGCCGACAGAGCTGCAGGCAGCGCATGAGCAGCGACTTTACTTATGGCTATAACTTTCTTCAGAATTGACCTATCATGATGAAATTTGGCACACGGACACATTAGTACTAACTGGATGTACCTACCAAAATTTATTTTTAAATTCCGAGAATTACGGAAGTTATAAGAAAAAATACGAATTGCGGGGGAGTGGGGGGGTGTATCAGAAAAAATAAACAAACTCGTTCTGCCTAGGGCTTATAGGAACCTTGATACCAATTTTGGTTATCCTAGCTCTTGTACTTACTGAGATCCTTGCGCTCATACAGACAGACGGACAGACGGTCAGACGGACAGACGGACATGGCTATATCGACTCGTCTTCTCATCCTGATCAAGAATATATATACTTTGTGGGGTCTGCCACGCCTCCTTCTGTGTGTTACATACATGCGCACAAAACTAGTATAGCCTTTCACCCTTTGGGTACAGGCTATAAAAAGTGTAAAAAAGCTAAATTTCTATTTTAAAAAAGCTAAGAAAATTGTATTTTTCATCTTTTTTAAATCATCTTGATGAACATTTAGTATCATTTTGGGCAAAATGTGCAATGTGTGATTGACCACTTAACCTGCACTATTGCTGTATGCTAAGCAAATGCTGGTAAAAAATATAAATGTTTTTTTAAAAAGCCAGAAGCCATTTCCCACAAAATGATTTCAAAAACAACCAGATTTGACGCGAAAAAAGCCAAATTGGCAACACTTCCGCCGAGAGCGAAGTAATCGCTACGCATCATAAATAGTCGCGAGAATACGCTCACTTGCTCAGTTCTAATACGGAGCCGGTGCAGCGCGCTAGATCGGTTGATGCTTCTGTACCGTTTGTTGTTGTAATCGTTGCGTCGTACTTACATACTTACTCGTACATCGAAAACAAGTGGGCAAACAGCAAAAAGTACGTAGTCCAATCAATTGGTGGTAAACATGCAACTGCCACAGTGCAGCTAGCATTGAAAATAATAATAGCTGAAAAGTGAAAAACCCATTGAGTGACAGCTGGCTCGCACTGCGTTCAAGAATCAACGCCAAGTATGCAAATCAAAGCCAAAGTCAAGCTAAAGCCAAAGCCATCACGTAATCGGCCGAGCCCAGCCAAGTAGAGCCATGTCCAGTGTACCAAGCCAAGTAAATGGAAGCGTGCGCGTGCAGAACCGTTTAGCGTTTTGTGCCCTGAATACGAAATAAGTCAAGGTCCAACATAATGTATAGCCGCCTTATACTTGTACACATACCTCCATATTTGAAGTCGCTAAGCATATGTTCGGGTACATACTCTCGGCAGTAGCAATGAACTTTGTCATCCGTTGGATGTTCTTCTCGTCGGTGCTGTTTTTGCTGCTGTTGTTGTTGTTTTGTCATTCGAGAGCTTTTAACCCTTACACAACATTCGCAGGCTGATTGACCCGGTCTTTGTTTACATTTCGTACGAATATAGATGTTGTTTTTATTTGTTTATCAAAACATGGTTTTTTCTGTTATACATATGTTTTTATGTTATGTCTATGTTTTGTTTAATGTTAAGTACCAGTCAGCGATTGACAATTTCGCAACTACAGTTCACATCAAAAAGATGTAGTCAAGGAGATTGTTAGTTTGGTAATAGTTCCATTTGCACTATTACATCTTAAAGCTAGTCTTAATGCTAAACATGTGCATAATTCCTTTTACATTTAAAATTACAAATTTATTTGCACTTGTAGAGTTTTTAGAAAAATTCAAATCGGGACAAAGTATAGCTTTTACTTTTTCCGCATTTGAACAGAAATGTGGCTGAATTGAATCTCGGATTCCGGGATTTTGCTCCATTTCGAAGATATGTGATTTTTTTTATCTCATCAACATAGTCTCAACAGCTCTGATTTTCTTTCTAGGCACATCATATATGTATATCACTCTATATTATGAACTATTTTATATGTGTACATGCGAGTATACATACATACATAAATAAAGGCTGCTCACACAATAACAAATCTTTTTGTAATCCACACCTCTTCTATGTCGGCTTAATAACTCAGTGATCAGTGGTGTGTGGACGGGCAAACGGGCAGAGGTTGCGATTGGGATTGTTGCACCTCTCTAATCTCATTAAGTTTAGTCTTCGGGTATAGGGTGTATAAATTTAATCAAAATGGTTTTATTTTGCAAATATTCAATTCAGAGCAGTCAGTTGTTGAACTTTCTGGAATACTATGATTTGAAAGCTTTGCTTTGTGAGGAACATTTTCCAAAGAGATATTAAGCTTATGTATATTTAGAGACTGCGAGTTAATAAAATGATGCTTGACTGCTTAGACTATGATTACCGCGAAAATGATTATAACAAGTCCACAGTTCAGCAAACCAACATTTTCCACGTGTTCACATGTGGCTCTTTATTTAAAATATTCATATCAAGAAAATTAAATGATTGCTTGAAGTACCTCTTTGTTCTAGATAGGCATTGTATCAATACATTTTAATTGTTTCATTCTGATAGACAGACTAGAGACGTAGTATTGGTATAGTGTGTGTATTCATAACATATTGTTCGTCAGAACTAAAATGTTTATATTATTATTATTACTATAGTACATAGCACTGCAATTGTGACGAGTGTGATAATACATATGAAGACTTGTGAAGACTAAACGCATATTTAAAATTGCTGCGATCGAGCCAAAAACAACGATAGTTAGCGTTGTGGGTTTGGTCTTCTGGATGAACTGTCTGCAAGCCAAAAAAAAGTAGCTCCCTCCGAATGACAGAAGAACAAGGTCCCTAAAGCAAAACTCGATTAATTCTAGCTTTTAATCACAACTTGACTATTAAGAAATATACCAAATTGCTTTAGTTGTGCATAATTTGAGAAAATGAATATTTAATTATAGCAGCAGCTATAATTGCAACTAATTTTTGTGAGGCAACTGGCCTTTGAGTTCCCCTTTAATATCATCTTGATTGACACTCCATGCTACAGATGTGTCAATGGAAAAGGTATTGTAACATGATTTCAGAATTTGAATTCAGTTTTTAATTAATGGCGGGAATATTGGTTGAGCGGTTTCAGAGCCTATTGGGAATATACATACATACATATATACATACTTCCATTTTTGTATAAATAGATTGAAAATGAAAATGAAAATGTTTCGAAGACCTGCGATACGGAAATATTCGTGTTTGACGCGTTGTTAGCTTATATTCGCAGTCCCAACTGTTGATATCAACTGAACGAAAGTTTCCCCTGACTTTTGTACTGTTGTCGTAGGCCCCGTCACCCCCGTCTCCCGCACCTCAGCACCCGCCTCTGCGTCAGTGTATTATACCGTGCTAATTACTCATAAGACACGCTCCTGATAACAATTATGTTCCACACTCGGTATTAGTTCCATTTGAAATCTTGGCGCTACAACCAGTTTGTCACTTCGTTAGCCGTCCATAAGCGCTTATCGCGCCGATAAGTAGTGGCAATGGGCGTGCCAGTTATATTGACTGCAGGCCCTGCATTTAGTCAGCCAGACAGCCACAACTATTTCCATACCCTGAGGTACGAGTACATGACTAGACATGAACTTATAAGCGATCAAGTGCGATTTGCAAAAGTTGGCAAACTGGGGACTACATATTTCAATAAATTTTCTCATCATGTTTCCTTTTCTCACATATAGTGAGCCAGTCTCGCACAGCACCAGCAAGGGCCCCTAGGGAGCGCGATAAGATCGGAGAGAGCGACGACGAAACTGGCAAGAAAATGGAAGTGTTGCTTGAGCTAAATCTTAAGCAGCGCACAGCCACTCGTGCGGGCATAGTAATGGTGGGCATCATCATCTACGTCCTTTTCTGCACGAACAGTGCCAAGGCCAGCCTCACACTAGGGGCACTTCTGACACTCATGATGCGGAATCCCACAATCGTATATGCATTGGTCATGACTGTGCACAGGGACACCATGTGAGTACAGACTATTGTGAAGAAGCTTTTTATCCCAAAGTCATGTAACTAGCCGACGCTAACCCAGCCGAACTTAGGCCATGGGAAGCCCGAGATTTTGTGAAATCTGGACTCTGTCACTGAAACAAGCACGTCAGTATATGAGGAATTGCTTAAGAATTATCGTTAACCCCACTCTTGTAAGCAAAGAACACCATTTTTTTTTTTTTTTTAAGAAATTCGTATATTCAGTTTATATTTTAGTTTATAGTTTATTTCGTGATCGTGACGAAAATGTTCCCTCTCTGCTATATAAACAATAACCAAGGGAAACATAAATAGTAATAAAAAAAATTGTTTTCACCAACTTGGCCTCAAATTTGCCGACCCAGCTAGATGTGCGGTCAATGCTCCGCTAATCTCCAGCAATACTCACTAAGCTGGGTATTTGCCGACAAGACAGATAATGTCACAATTCTATAGCAGGCATATAAAACATATCAAGAGTTATACCAGTATAAATTTATTTTGAGTTCTAATTTCTCAAATTACATGTTTTTTTTTTTAATAGCAGAGTGTATTTTAGCAACTTGATTGACATCAATATTTAACATCGGATCAGATCAGATTAAATAAAATAGATTTAAAATGCCGATTCCTTTTCAGTGCCGGCTAGCAATTGTAATTTTACTTTCTAGCTCGCAAGCTCGAGGAAATCAGCATATATTGCTGACAGTGGTGGAGGGATTCCTTCTCGACTAACCCTTCAGTTCCTAGTTATACGAACAGTTGGTAAATACACCACTTCGTTATTTAACAAAGTGCATTAAACTATAGATTTTCCTTATTAATCTAGATCGACTGAATCGTCCCATTCTCCCCATTTTGCAACTCATTCTAATGCATTCAAGATTTCAGATATGTATATGTATATACGGACTCAAAGCTAAAACCCTTTTTATTTTAGGGCCTTTTATCGATTTCTGTGGCTCAACGTGTACCTGTTGCGCATGGAGAGACGGAATTGGATAATAGCGCGCATCTTCCAGCAGATTTCGCAGGCACAGCCCCACAAGTCGTGCTTTGTGATGGACGAGCGTCGTCTCACCTTTGCGCAGGTGCAGCTGCTGAGCAATAAAGTTGCAGCATTCTTTAGATCCCAACGTTTGGAGCGTGGCGATTGCGTGGCCCTTCTAATGGACACACGAGTGGAGTATCCATGCTTCTGGCTAGGTCTGTCCCAGCTGGGTGTGATAACAGCACTAATCAACTCTAATTTGCGTCGCGACACCTTGCTGCACTCCATTAAAGTGGCCAATGCCAGAGCTTTGATTGTGGGTAGCGAGTTGGCGGACGTGCTGGCGGCCATTGGGGAGGTAGATGAGCTCCGTCAACTACCTATCTACCAGTATTCCGATGCAGACCAAGTCGCCAGCTATGAACTGCTGCCTGGCGCCGTAGACTTGAGATCGGCACTCGATGCCCAACAGCCGGAAAACCTGAGCCTGGAGATCGCACGTGGAAGTACGCGCGACAAACTCATCTACGTATTTACTTCTGGCACCACAGGGCTGCCGAAGGCTGCTGTCATTACCAACCTGCGCTTTCTCTTCATGGCCGCTGGTACTTTCTATATGCTGCACCTGCAGAAGGACGATGTGGTGTACAATCCATTGCCTCTCTACCATACGGCTGGCGGAATAGTGGGCATCGGCAATGCGCTGCTTAATGGCGCCACAGTGGTTCTGCGTAAGAAGTTTTCCGCGTCTAATTTCTGGCGAGACTGCAGTCGGCACGAGTGCTCGGTGGCTCAGTATATCGGAGAGCTGTGTCGCTACTTGCTGGCCACGCCCTACACGACAGAGCAACGCCAGCACAGTCTGCGCCTTATGTACGGAAACGGACTGCGACCACAGATCTGGACACAGTTCGTCTCGCGCTTCGGCATTCCACAGATTGGAGAGGTTTATGGGGCCACCGAGGGCAACTCGAATCTGATAAACATCACGAATCGCGTGGGAGCCATTGGATTTGTTCCCGTTTTCGGACGCAGTATATATCCTGTGCAGGTTATACGCTGTGACGAACAGACGGGTGATCCTCTGCGTGACTCCGAGGGGCGATGTACTCGATGTAAGCCCGGCGAACCGGGCTTGCTGATCGGCAAAGTAGATTCCAAGCGCGCGGTCAGTGCCTTTCACGGTTATGCGGACAAGGGCGCCTCTGAGCAGAAACTGCTACGGAACGTGTATTCCAAGGGCGATGTGTTCTTCAACTCGGGCGACATGGTAGTGTGTGATATCCTGGGATACTTTTACTTCAAGGATCGCACAGGTGACACCTTCCGCTGGCGCGGCGAGAATGTTGCCACACAAGAGGTGGAGGCCATCATTACTAATTGCATTGGTCTGAGCGATTGCGTCGTTTATGGTGTGCAGGTAATTTTTATTATATTAGTGTTTTTCCTCCCTTTAGCTGTGTTCGTCACGTCTTATCAGCTTTAACTTAGTTATCGACTTAACCAGATTACACTTTTAATATCCATCTGTTCTCTATATACCCTGTAGCTGAAGGTAAGAGAGGGCACACTTAATAGGCTTGTTCAACAGGCAGAAGGAAGCATCTCCGACTCCAAAAAGTAAAAATTCTTAATCAGCATAATGTGTCTCATTATTATTATTATTAATCAATCTAGCCATGTACATCTGTCCACCCGTTTGCTTGTCAGTCTAGATGAATGCCTGGAGTTCAGAACAGGCTGAGTCCACATTGCCCCCAAACTTGGTATGTAGACTCTCCATATTCCACATCCACCCGCCTACCAACCCTACAGAATTTTGTCAGTACTGTTCTTGTTTTTATCAGGGACGGTAATCATTATAAGTGTTGTAAAAATTACAAAATATTGATTATTTTTCGCCCCCAATAAAATGATTAATTTTTGAGTTTTACTTTTCAATTTTGAACAAAAAAAAATGTTGTAAAGCAGAACTTTAAAATAGTCATTAAATTTTGAGAGAATACATAAAAATTTAAATTCTTAAAAAAGGATATTGGTATTTCTCGTTTTCTTAAATTTACTATTAGTGAATGAATTTTCCTTTAAAAGAAATCAAAATAATAATTATTTGTGGGCCCTTGTTTTTATACCCTGAACCCAAAGGTTAATTTAATTGCTACATTTTGTTCTCCCTCCTACCATCACAGAATTTCGGCAATACAGCTTACAATTTATTTTTTGCTCGACTGTAGCGTTCTCTCTTGTTAGCGTATTTCTCAGTCGGGCGCAGTTGAAAGATAGATGGATCATTGTGGCATGGTTCCTGTTAAGTTTTTGTTTATTTTAAGCTATTTTGTATTATAATTATTAATATAATGGACCCTCGCAATGCTTACCAATTAGTAAGTTTTTGTAGTCAGAATTTAAATGAGATTGATCTTTCTAATGCTAAATGCAATAATTTAGAGAGCTCAATAGTTTCCAATATCTCCATAATTGTAATGTGAAATGCGAATACCTGTCAACTATATCTGTATCACTTCATCTAAATTACAGATTCCCCATGTCGAGGGCAAGGCTGGCATGGCCGCTATTGTAGATCCCTCACGCAAGGTGGACATGGAGTACCTCTCCACGGGAATACGCGGCAGCTTGCCCGCCTATGCGCGTCCTCTCTTCATTCGCCTTCTGGACGAGATTCCGCGAACGGCTACGTTTAAGCTGAAGAAGCGGGAGCTGGCCCTGGAGGGTTACGATCTGAGCCGACTTAGTGATCCCATTTTCTACCTCAATCGCGACGGCATATATCGGCGTCTGACGTCGGAACAGTACCAAGCTCTGCAGGCGGGAACCGCCGGCCTGTGAACAACTTCTCTAGCCCTATAGTCTGTACATATACCATTGTACATTATACCTCTCCATATTTGTAGTTGTACTTGTAGCACTAAAACGACTGATGCTTTAGCCAAAAGCCGCATGCGTTTCTTTCCCATAACTCCTGGCGTCCATAAATATGCATGCGCGTGTTTTCCAAATGCCAATGGCCACCATAAAACGCCACGGCGAACGCAGCTTAACCGATAATGGCTGCCAATACGTTTTACGGGCAGCCAGCGCTTCGTCCACCACCCACCACCCACCACCCACGCCTCGGACTCGTATGGATGTGTACGCGGACACGTCGATGGGGACGCACGTAAGACGGTGCTGCCGGCTGCCCAAGATATATCGAAGTGTTAAATCCCTAAGATTAAGTTTTCGCTCATTGGCAGCTGCGGCGGCTGCAGCAGCGCAGTTTGCCGCTGGAGCGCCTGGCCAGGGCAACATTAACGCCATTTTCACTTGCATGTGGCAGCTGCGACGCGCACTCCGTCGCACTCCAAAACAATAAATGAAGAACCGAGGCGGGGCAGCCAAGGGATGGACTCGTAGCTGCAAAAATGCGCTCTCTAAGATAAACGATGTGCAAAATCCATACAAACAACAAGAGGAACAGCGACAGTAACGGGAACAACAACAACAATAGCAACAACAACAACAGCAACAGCAGCAGCTGGCAATGGCAACCGCAACCGCCGCTGCTGCAAGCACCAACGCCAATATCGATGGCACGAAAAAGTTGTGGCAGGCAATCATAAAAAACAAGAGTATGCAACAACCAGCCCACTAAGCCGGAGAGCGGATGGTGTTTCACTTCCACTTGGGCGACAGCTGAATGCGCTAGAATATGTGGATAGTTTCGGAACTAAACCCATAACACTTTTTCTCCGCCCTCATGCTTTAAGCCACATGAATTGGGAAAACATTTGTGGGGTAAGGAGAAGCGTTTGTTCAAATATTTTCTACTTCTGTTCCCTCATGGCAACAATTACGAATTAAAGTGTGTCTCTTCTTTTTTGAAGATCCTTTTTGAAAGACCCAAAATAGCAGCAAAAACGTCTCTTTCTTGCAATTATCAAAATAAATCTCTCAAGGTGCAGAGGTGCGAAGGGAAGATCACTTAAAAGTTATAGAGTACAAAAAATAAATGTTACAAACTTATTTTTGTAACGAACACGGTCTTGTGAAAGCTTTTCAATATGATGGTCCAGTATTATCTTTACTTTTTCTACAATATTACATAATGATGATATTCTTTTATGTTCTTTGTTGTCATTTTTTCATACTCACTTATTTATGTTAAGCAGAATCGATCGAGCGAAGCCCCATAAAAATAAGGAGTTTAACATGAGCAACATGTAGCTAAGAGGATAGCAAATATTCTAAATACATAATAATTAGGAAAATCATTAATAGCTCCTTAAAATATCAACAGTCTTTCGAAATAATTAACGTATTTGAGACTTGAATTTAATCTCATTGCATACTCTTGCGATTGTCTAAAAGTTGAGGACATAAAGAAGTAGTCTTCAAAGCATTGCTTCGGGATGTTTGGTCAGGCTCGTTGAAAACAATCATAATCCAAAGCAGTCCTTACTTTTATCTTTAGCTGACTCGAATAATAATTATTATTATCAATTATAATTAAAGTCAATTATAATTGGCATTGTCTTTTCCAGACCCTGATCAATTAGTTCTTATTTGGCATTTGAAAGTCATAATTTAATTTCGATTTGACTTATTTAAATACATTTTTATTTGCTGTTTTGCTGATAGAGAAGTTGAAAGGATTCCATACCACTATGCAGCATGGCAACATCAGCCGGAGCCAATGTAGCTTAATAGAGACATGTTTGCATTTGCATCTGGGCCGTCTTCAAAAATGCATGGCGGTTGCGCACATAAAGTTGCATTGGAACTGGAAACCACAAGCCTTGTCGCCTCCAAGCCTGCATGATGTTGCACGATGCTAATCTGAAGCCTGTGGCCCAGTTTGTTGTCATCGACAGCGTCGCCATCATCGTCATCATCGCCATAAACAAAATGGCACTTTTGGCGCACACACATTCTTTGCACGCTAATATCAATAAAAACAATGGCAACAACAACAACACAAGTTGTAAAAAACGACCTATCCCAACATGCGGGAGGAGTGAAAAATCCAACCCACAAGACAGGACCTGCTTGCGCTTGTTACTCTTGTTCTTGTTGTCGTCTTTTTATTTTAGTTTGCGTGTCGCGCGTTAACACAAACAACTATTACAACAACAGCAACAACACGTCGCATATAAAGAAAAATTTAAAAATTTTCAATAATTTTTCGAAATGTTCGAAGTCGAGACAACACTTCAGTTTCCGCCTTCCACTTTCAACCTGCTGTCGCCCATCTTTTCTGCGCTATTTCTTTGCCTTTTTCCTCCTTTCCCCCCATTCCCCCACTGGCTTTTCCACCGCTTCTGCCTTTTGTTCATTTTGGGCGCTCATGCTTGGCGGTGGTGAGCAGCTGCCATTGGAATTTCAAAGCTATTAAAACGCTGCGAAGCAACCGCCAGCCAAACGGGTGCCTGAGCAGCGACTTTTCTGCTTGCCTTTGTTGTTGTAGTTGTTGTTGCTGCATTGTTGTTGCTGCTGTATGCATTTGGGCTTAAAGGTTTTACTTGCTTTTGTTTTTATGCGAACGCCAATGGCGCGAACGTTTCTGCTTCTCTGGCAGCTGTTACTGCTGCCGTCGCTGTTAGTGGCACTGCCGATTCTACTCCATTGTGGCACTGGTTTTCAATATCCAAGTATGCCACCTCTTCCCCAAGCCCCACCTCCGATTTGTCAGCTTGTGGCAGTCCTGCTAATTACATTGCACCTGTGTGTGACGTCTGATGTTGCCTGTAGGTATGTTCGTTAGTTCGTTCGTTCGTTAGTTCGTATGTATGTATATGTATGTATTTCGTTTGGTTTGTTTGTCTTGCCTGAAATTAGTCGTTAGTTAGTTTTGGCCTTTTTCACGCCAAAATGCAGCAACAGCAGCCAGCAGAGGCCACCGCAGTCATTTCTAGGAAAAATTAATTAAAAGCCAACGTGCTGCAATGCAATTAAATTCGATTTGTGTGTGATGGCCGAGCCTCGACTCAAATCGAATGCTGTTACTGCTGCTGCTGCTGCTGCTACTGCTGCTGTTGACATCATTTAATACAACAATGCAGCAAAATTATATTTCAAACACAAATACACAACTACACACGAGCACATACTACACACACACACACACACATACTCACATCACAAAGTTCGCACAATGCAAGCAATCTTCCTGCCTCTCCCTTTAATTTGGTTTTTGTTTATTTTTCTCGCGCTGCTTGATCTGCCTATTTTGTTTGTGTACACACGTATGTGTGTGTGCAAAATGGCTGACTGGCTGCTCTTCCTGCGCTTGGCATGCGCCTCTATACATGTGTGAGTGAGTGAATCTGTGTGTGTGTGTGTATATATGTATATAATTGTGTGTGTACGTTGCTTTTGCGTTTGTTTGCTCGCCCGCTCGCTCGTTCGTTGATTCGTGGCACCTTTTGGATTTGACAGTTTTGTAATTAACTGCAGTCAGTATGTGCGGCGGGCAATGGCATTGGCAGCAGCAGCAGCAGCATCGACGTCAAAGTCAAAGTCGATTGGAGCGCGCAGCAAAAACTGTGTTGCATACTTTCAGGAGGCGCAAAATACATCTGAATAGCTCCAAACAGCAGTTTTCTAAAGGAATCGGTTTTAGCAAATTACCTTAAGCTTATACTTGTATTGACTTAGTTGGAAGAAATTATAAATTGCTTTACTACTTGATACTTGATAAATAAATATAAACGAAATTTCAATTCAAAACTGTGCTGACTCAACATATCCGGATTTGACAAACTCAAAAATAGTTGAATGAGTTAAAACATCAAAACATCTAAAGTAGTAGTAGTTATTGTACAGATTACAACTCTGATTATATCGGAAATTATTACAAAACAAAAGGTAGGGATTCGAGAATTACGGATGATTGCCCCGTCAACCCTAGTTGGTAGTTGTGGAAGCAGGTATTTATTTGACAAATATCTGTCAATATTATAACATAAAAGCATACGAGATATACATTTAGATATTAAAAAGAAAAACAAGAAAGACCAAAATTGAAATTAAATAGAATTCGTTTTAAAAAAGTAACGATTTTAAAGAGAAACAACAAATTTTATTCAGACCTTAAGAAATTAAGTATGCATGATTTAATTCAACTGACAGAACTCTCATGGCCAAAGAGATGGCTCAATTGATTATAGTTGCTGCATAGAACCCGAAACGACCTGTGGAAAGCAAAAAAAACTTTAAGGTCTTTGTAAAGTCAGTAAAATTAATTTGGCTAACAAGCACCGAACCCTACTATCAACGAGACACTTAACTAAGACAGAAAGTTACTGAACAGAGGGATATATATAAACAAATCATTAAATATTGAAATTTCGGGTGTCGTAATTATTTCTCTTCCTTGTCGGAAGCATTGGCAAAATTCAAATTAATTAGTAAGCATGAATATAAATCTAGAGTCGTACGGGCAGAACTTTTAGATACTTGTACACTGTTCCCACTCCTAAAAGAAAATGTAATTATTTCAATTAAATATACCTGAATATCAAGTTTGGTTACTCAAGCTCTTATACTTGATCTGCTCCTGAGATCCTTACGGCCATGCAGACAACGGACGGCCGTACGAGAGACGAGAAAAATTGATCCATGTCCGTCCCCCTGTCTGTTCGTTCATTTATCTGGATGAGCGATGACCGACCTCTGCATGTAGAGGGCAACACGAGTTTATTTAATTTTGTTGATTATCCTCCGAATATTTGCCCATTTTAAAACTACAAAAACAACACTTAATTTATTATTCTCTACTTTTTTTCAAATTTCATCCAGATCGATTGATGCATTCTTATTTTTTAGTCAAATGAGACTGTCAAGTGCTCACCTGTGTTCACAAAACTCTTCACTCTTGTGCTCTGTATATATTTTATTGAGCGCTCTGCTTTGCATCAAACACTTAAAAAGTTGTTCCTGTTCCTTCAACTGCAT